TCTGGAGAGAGTTTGCTGCACTGAAAGTAAAGGGGCTGAATAATTTTGCACGCCCAATTTTTCAGTTTTTTATTTGTTAAAAACGTTTGAAATATCCAATAAATTTCGTTCCACTTCATGATTGTGTCCCACTTGTTGTTGATTCTTCACAAAAAATTACAGTTTTATATCTTTATGTTTGAAGCCTGAAATGTGGCAAAAGGTCGCAAAGTTCAAGGGGGCCGAATACTTTCGCAAGGCACTGTATGTACTGAGGTATGAGCCTTGCTGTATGTTTGATGCTGTTTGAAGTTATTGTAGATGTAGACTCTAATTAACCGGTGTTGGACGTTATTCAGCTCCTGCAGCTACATAACGTCTCACCTGGTTGTTGGAGTAGGCCAAGGCATGGATCAGACATCCCTTAGAACACCGAGGTTCCTCCCCCACTCTCACACACACAAACTCATGCATGAGCTCTTCTCCCTCGCCATATGAGCCCGCTGCATTTACTTGGCACCAACAAGACCAGCTACTGTTTATTCTGCTGCAGTTTCATTCTCCATCTTCCTCTCTCTTTCTGCACACAGCCCCTTTCTGCTCCAAACATGACAGATATCATTAATTTTTTCAATGCCAAATGTAATTTCAGCAACATTGTTTACTCTAATAGAATCTGCAGGCAGACATGGTCATGTCTATGTGAAAGCAAAGTTTCCAATTTTAGAGGTCCCTTGCATATTTTATCTGATGAGTTCATCCCCACTATATGAAGGAGGCTGGGGAGTCTAAGAATACCTTCACTTTGGTTTGTCTGCTGCATGTAGTTTGTTTCACAGAGAGGCTAAGGAAGGTGAAGAATTAAAAAAAAAAAAAGAGTTGTCCTTGATTTGGCCTGCTTGTTCAAAGCACAGGATTACTGCTGTGCACTCTCTCATCACGACCATTTGCAAAGCTGCTTGCTTTAAATACAGGATTGCCAAAAAGGAGGGGCATCTATTCAGCATATGCATGTCATATAATTTAATGAAAAGGGGGGAAAACATACAAAGAACAAACAGTACATGTCCATATTTAATTCATCACTTAATCTTTTAGTTAAAAGATGTGTTTTATCTGTCCAAATGAAAAAGAGTGCACTGCACATTTTGCTCTGTTCTGTCAGTGCCAGGCCGCCTGCTGCTGCCTTTTGCCCATCTGGTATTTTTACTCATTTGTATGGCATTAGTAGATGAGCCCTGAGTTGGGAGCAGCTGGCGGTGCCAGGCATGCACCTCACTCTTCCCCCTTTTCTCCCATGACTCATACTCCCCTTACAACCAGGCCAAACTGTGGCTAGAATGAGGAATCAGTGAGGGCGACAGAGAGAAACAAAACCAAGCCCTGTCACATGAAACTATTAGCATAGTAATGAGTAGGACATCTATTAGGACAGTAGGCCACAATGCACCTCCAATCACAGTCATTGCCACACTTGCATGCTAAACAGGAATCATGGTAATCACTCCTGAGCCTCCATGAATGGGATTACATATTGGTACCACAGCTCTGTAGTGAAGTCACTCTGAGGCTGAGGGAATAATGGAGTATAATGCAAGGACAATGACCGATAGCAAATGAAAATCCCTACTGGGCTTGAATGTCTTACTCACATGGGACTCCCTCTTCTCAGTCCCAGTCACAGAGGGGTGGAAGGGATAAAGAAGCTCATTGCCAGGAGAGTACGTGACACACGAAGTGATGGGAAATGATGGCAACAGGCATGTGTCAAACTACAACATATGAAGTGTTAACAGGGCCAGAGTCAATGTTTCCCTTACAACTTTGGTTTAAATGTCTAATTCGGTCAAAAATCCAACAGAGACTCCAACAACTGTTCTTCTTTACATATAAGGTTTTATAAATGCAAGGTGGATGTTAAAACTTTTCAAGTGGCAGATCTGTTTTTCTTTGGGTTTAGTTTTCAGTCTTTATGCATCACAAATGCAACACAATGCACTGGATGCATCTGTACTAGGGCAGTGTTTCCAATATGAATTAAGATGACAAAGTAATTAGAGGCCTCTGGTGCTTGAGGGAGAATAGGTTCATTTTAACTATAACATGTTTCACTTTTTTCTGTACATGGCATCAGTCAAAATGTTGGGGCATGGCAGACAGTAATTTGACAGGCATCAGTTGTTTTCAGCTCAGCTAGACCTGAGCCACTGGCTGCTCACTGTCACGCAATACATTTACCTCTTGATGTAGCCATACAGCATATCATGAAAGCTTGTTAGGCCATTTTCTAACAGTACAGAGCAGCCCCTCACTGTCTATCTGCATTTGTTTTTCTTCTTTGTAAACCTAAACAACACCAATGTTTTTTTTCCCCTGTCTCCCTTTCTCTCGATTTCTCTGTGCATCTTCTTCTGTTAACAGAGGTACCAATTAAAAGGAGCTTATTCACACCCACAGCCTGGGAGTGTTGCTCTCACATCCTGCATACACTGTGCTCTATTTTCCTGACAGCTCATGGCATAGCCAAGAACGATCACACCATGACAAGTTAACATTTAACGACATGATGATGGATGTTGTGCTGTAGACTGGAGAGAAAAACAAATGAGGGCCCAGGTTGAGCTGTGTGGATGGTTGAACAGGGCCGAACCAAGGAAAGTCGATACTTAGACTGCAGATAAAGTTTTAAATACTTAATGTCCCAGCAGAGAGTTTTGCTACATGTTCTTACACTACTGATAATGATGAAAACTGTATGTGTATATTACAGGATTGTCTTATAGGACAATCTTTTCACAAAGTTGAATTGTGCTGTCGCATTTAATGTCAGAGGTAAATACAGCTGAACAAACTGGAAAGAAGATAAATACTTTAATATCTCCTGATGTCACGAGGTGCAGGTCGAAGTATGATACATTACTCCAACATCCAATAATTGAGTCTTAGCTGCCAAAAGCTTTTTCAGTAATAAGCTCTGGCACTGGGAAATATAATGTACAAGACTGACAAGCAGCTGAAGAGCAATACAGGGATGCTATGTGCCCATACATTACATTTGAGAAGTGATGCAGCTTTGCCAGACAGAGATTTTTTGTTTGTAAATCTAACTACTCTATCAGATTATGGGATCATTAGCTCCGTGCAGGATGATGAATTATCTTGGTGTGATGCAAGTGACAGCGCTGCTGATGGACTTCTCGTTTTGTTTACTTTTAAATTAGCTTGCTCCACTCTAGTGCATCTATATGGTATTCTATGATATTATGAGTGGATTTATGTCACACTTCAGTTAGAGTTTCTTCATGTATCTAAATGTTTTTAATGCTCTCCATGTTTTTTTCTTGTGTTTCTACAGAGATCTGTCTGCTCACCAAGGGCAGACGAACAGCAAGTGTGCGTGCAGACACCTACTGTCGACTCTTTTCCCTGTCTGTTGACCATTTCAATGAGGTGCTAGAAGAGTACCCCATGATGCGACGTGCTTTTGAAACTGTAGCCATTGATCGATTGGACCGCATTGGTAAGACTTACCTACATCTAGTTGTCATGTCTGATTGGTCAAATCTCTTGCCTGTCATTGAGCCTTGTTTTTATCAGTATTCATTTGCCTTCTTTCTTCATAAAAGCATTGTGTCTGCCATCTTGTGCTGCATGACCTGTATGCTCTCTCTCTCTCTCTCTTTTTTGAAATGCCATCTCTTTTGAAATAACATTAAATAATTTTTGTTGGAACCAGCATTAATCCTTCTAAAGAAGGAAATTTTGTGGTTGGATTAATTGGAAGGCAGTGCATGTCGCTGTCCGGGAGGGAGTCAGGTCGCCCCCTCGTTGGTTTGGTGTTGACCCTCCCACTGGATGTTAGCAAGTGGAACAAAGCTAACCTCTCATGCATGTGTATCTGACCCTCTTTCCACTCATCTACACTCCTGGGTATGAGCAGCACCCCACCCCATATCAGAGTTCTCAAAATCAACTAGGCACAAATTCTGTAAACAAAGAGCAGGCCAAGTCACATCAGGGAGTGGTTCCCACATCCATCAGGTCCAGCCCCATTTGCCAACAGGCTTCAGTCAGCTATACCCCCATCAACAATACTTCCTTATTTTTAGGGTGTTTTCACACCTGTAATTCGCTCCACTAGTCAGACTCAGTGGACCAGTTTCTCATCTTGGTCTGATTTCCCCTTGGTTCAGTTTCCTTTTCACACACAGAAAAATCCAAGCAAACCAAAATGCGTCATTACAAATCATGTGAGAACATTCCCTTCCCTCAATGGAGTCTGGGGAAGGAACGAGAAAGTAAACACAGGAAGAAGATACGTGATCTCTACCGGTGAACAGTCCTATGAAATAAATTTGCTCTGAACATGGAGAAACCGCTTAATTGGTATTTGATCATAATTGTGGTAATTAACTGAGCAATAAACTAAATAAAACTATGTCAACAGAGCAAGAATTGAAGATCCAATATTGTTTTATACTTTGCAAAGAAGACATGCAGCCTACGGTCAACTGAGAAGAAAAAGGGAGTTAATATACAATGACATGCTAAACAGCTAAGCTCAAACTTCCACTGTATTCCTTGTAGTTGGTCTGAATCATGATCAGATCTGGTCTAGAGTTAATCTGGAACCATACCAAGACCACCTCTGGGAAAGGGTTTGGGTGTGCTTGTTTTGATCTGCACCCAAGTATGACTGCTGTGTTCACACCTGTCCAAATGAACTGCACCAGGGGGAAAACAAACCAGGGTTCAATTCAACCTGACTAAGCAAAGCAGGTGTGAAAGTGCCCTTAATGTCTGACGGATCATCATTTACATACAAGCGACAATGGTTCAGACACACACAGAGATTTGTTGGTTTAAAAAAAAAGGGGCACATGTATTTAACACAACCAGGGCAATAACTGGGTGCACTGACATTTGTTCACTCCTTTTTATGAATGTGTTTAGTCTACCATAGTACTTCAAATAGAAGCTTATATGATACTGTAAGTGTTGTCTACCGTAAGTAGTAACTGCCTTTGTCTTTGCCTATATTTTGCTTCTTTGTAAATTTTTTTAAAATGACCTTTTATTCACTTAACAGTAATTCAGCACGTCTCACGTAGAGTACAATTTCGGCACACTACGCTATAACCTCCTGAGAAAGTAAGGATGTACTTTTGCTCAGCCTGCACATTCATACAATTTGGACTCAAAGCCGTTGTAGTAAATAGTGTACAACACATTAATCATTATGGTCATGGATTATGATACTTGTGAGCAACATTAAAATCTGGATCCCTCAGTGGCACGGAACAGAAATAACACTTCATCACAACGTCACAACTCTGCAAGGCAATGCAGAACAGTTATGGCATCAGTGTCCCAGTCAAGCAAGAAAAAGAATTAAGTATATGACAGTCATGATCATGTGTTGCTCATGGGTGAATAGCATGCATTTGGTATTTATAAAACTTTAAGTTCACCTACTTTAAACTGTCAGTAAGGCAATACAGCAGAATCTTATTGTATATTTTCCCCATACCATGCCACAGCAATCTGGTACTATACTGTGTGGCGACCCAAAAGCTGCTGTGCTGCAGCATGAATATTCTAATGACAGTTTAAGATTGATTTGTGCATTACCACCTAAAAATATCTTCCCCTTTACTAGACAAACATCTGGACAGATCCCACAAACTGAAACTGACAAAATAAATGACAAGCATTAAAAGCCATAATGTTACACTGCCTATAAATCAAACAGTCCATAATGAACGTTACTGTGTAATGCTACTGCAGTAGAGGCCATAATGTTTGATAATTTGGTTTTACTTACAGTAAGTGACCCTATTATATTAACTAGAAAAATAATATCACCAGAATTTAAGCACAGTTTTCATAGTGTGCCAATGTTATCTCATATCAGTGGCTAAGCTTGCACTCTATATCTACTTTTCTGTCTGTTACTGTTGGTTGTTGTTTTTTTGTTTGTTTTTTTGCCATGGCTTTTTATTTGTGTATTATTTTACCTGACACAGGCATTACTGAATTGCTTTGCAAATCAAGAGTTGACAGCTTTGAAATACTGTAGTGTTATGTCAGTCACTATCAAGCAATAAACAATAGATTTAGAATAAGGCTGTTTCAAATCAATCAGAATTATGTATGTGTAACTGTTGAGGCAACCTTTTCTCCTCAGAATTACATTCATATACAACTATTTTTGGTAGGGAGAAACATCATTTAGCCTGGGTGACTAGGCAAAACCTGTCTTCTAGGGGTGGATCTAAAAAAAATTGGATGGGGAGGCCAGGCTGGGGCACAGACTCAGAGAGGGGTGGTATATTTGAAATACATTAAAAAAGTTAGTTGAACCCCTAGTTCCATAAAAAAAAACATAAATTAATCAATGAATTGTCTCTGTATAAATGAGACACACAGTGCTTTCTTTAGCTAACTTCTTTAGCTAACCTAAATTCATACCAGTGATATCTGCAAAAGTTGGTCTGTCTGTTTATTTGTTTCTTTTATCCCTGCTCCTGTCACCTAAAGCATGGTTATTTGTTTCTTTAAGCAAATAAAACCACACGATAAAGTTTAAGAAAAGGTTCACAGCACTAATTTGCTGTTTAATGTGAGACACTAACCTTACACACTGATCTGAACACGCACTGTTCACTGTGCTATACAAACGCCCCACTACTTCTTGCATAGGAATTGAACACAACTTTGAATTTGTTGCATATAAACGTAATTCACAAGAGACAAGGTTGTATTTCTGGACTAGCAAAACAATCTATATTTGCTATAGTGAAATGTGTGCATTTGTTTTCACTGTGCCCTTCATCAACGTTCTGCCCTTTGACCTCAACAGGCCTAATCTACATTTGCCCTTTTTATGAGACAATTACAGTAGCTGTTCACTATAGCCAAGTGTTAGAAAATGAAAGCTACGCACTGAATCTAAGTCAGAATGACTTAGATTTGATCCATACTTTCAGACTAACCATGAAGGGGGTTTTGTCTCATACGACGGAAGATACTTTGCCATGATCCGTGCTTGTTGTATCGTTTCTATATACAAACTGCATTTGATTACATGCTTGTCTTGCTCTAAAAAGGAAAGTAAAAAAAAGTAACCATGCTTTGAAATCAATAATGTGTTGCACATTTTACATTATCTTTTATCTATCTAAAAATTATTTGACCAGGAGTCCGTCTTGAGACGAGCACATCTCGTTTTCAAGAGTGTCCTGGCCGACGAGTAGGCATCAGGTAAACACTTTATTCCAATTCTAGTATTCGAACAGGGACAGACTGACCTATAGAGGCTTGCTAAATGGATCCGGTCTCAAAGTCATCCTCCAAGAGGCTGACCTCTTGCTGAAGGTTACATTAACTGTTTAATCCCTGCATCAGTGACACATAACTCAAGTCATGCACACTGAAACACAGAGAACTCATTCAGTTTTACATGTCATGTTTATTGTGTAAATGACCTTTCACAGAATAATCGACCCAATTATAAATCCATAGCCTGCTCTATTGGTGTGACATTTTTGTTTTCTCTTTGAATTGTTTGTTCAAAGTTTATTCACAAATGAAATCATGTCTGCAGATTAGTAAAATCTTTACTAATGCAATGCAGAAATCCCATTTCATTTTTTAATCACCAGAATCATCAGAAAAAAAGTTTTCAGCTTTTCTGACTTGAAACACAAATTCTGTCTTTTCTCTAAATAATTTGGAGTAGATTTAGACTATGGACACTTTTCTTGGGCGGGGGGGTTTAAACTGCATTCAGACAGCGCTACAGTAATGTCATGTTGATGATATGTGGAGGGCAAAAGTCCATTTAATTCATTATGAATCATTTTCCCACAAACATTTACACCAGTTGTCCTCCCTAGGTACATAATCCTCCTACAATGAGTCAGAAAATAAAGTGTTATTGCAGATTAAAGGAGAGATGATTTAACAAAGATACTGTTTAAGTCAGAATGAAAAGTGTGTATTTTCCCTGTACAGCATATCAATTTGTCTTCTGTTTTTTACATTATTTATGTTTGTTAACATGACAGTGTTTGTTTTGATTGTTTTTTGTTTGTTACTGTAAGTGTGTTCATTAGCTTTCATAATGTTTTACAAGAGTTTTGCTCCAGTTTTAGATATATTGTATATTGGTTACTGTATTATTACTTGGTTTAATAATAATTGTATTGATGGGCGACATTTGTATATTGAACTTATCTCACTGGTTCTAAAGAACCAAAAAAAAGACAAATTAGTAACATAGTACAGTGGTTTCACCCATATCTGATTTATTTCTATTTAAATATTACAAGTTTTGTATATAAAAAGAAATCTCTTTACCCATGAATGGTGTTTACATTTTGCTTGTTTTTATTTGCTTGTTTGTTTTCATGGGATAATAATTCTATCACCTTCTGATGCTTGAAAGTGAAAGCCAGACTTCCATTCACTGTTTAGAGATGTATTCAAAGATGACCAGTGCTATTTATTGGAAAAACATGCCAAAATATTTACAGCACAAGTTTAGACACATTTATGTACACACTGCAGTGTGACACAGCTGATGAAATTTTACACTAACTGATGCTTGTGTTGTCCTTCTAGAGTTTAACCCCATCACCTTTAAAAATGCAATGCAAGTAGCCTTGTAAGTGAACAATTAAGTTTGTAGTCAGTATGTGGTGCTAGTTTTTGCTCTTTCACTATCCAACCCTGTAGTGACTGCTGCAGTCAAAGTGAACTTTAAATAATGATTTTGAGGAACTGGCTGCAAAACATAAGATCAATCCATTTTCAGCTGATACAGCTGTAAAAAATCTAGTCTTATAGCTGAATGCATGACTTGTTGGGGGCCTTGAGAGAAGGAAGCCATCCAGAAATGCTGAGAAAATCTAACTCAGGGGAAAATTGTCATGCCCTCAAGGACAGGGCATAATGACTGATTGACTGTGGCCAAATCCTTCAGCACACAAAAAGTCCACTCTGTCTTCACTGACAGATAATGCTCCACAGCCTGTCGATACACAAGGTCGACAGTAATTACGGCAAACGCATCCTCTAAATACACTTTGACAAAGTAATTAACGGTAAAGATTTTAAGTGGATCTTTATTATTACCATTACTGCCAAATGTGGCGTATCTCACAAATAAAAATAAAAAAAAAGGTTTCAGGATATCTTTCATGCCTTTTGTACAACTTAGCATTTTGCCACAGTTCTGCTGCCAAACTCCCAAAGCCACAGAAGTGGATGGAGTTTAGAGAAACCACCTGACGAGTCTATATTAGCACAGTTCACAACCTGTGGCAGGCTCAGAAAGATTTCCCGGCCTGTGGGCTCAAAATGTCCTTTATAATACTGTACATAACTGAAGCACTTTTGAAACCAACCAATTTATAATTATTCAGATTTAATTTTGCAGATTCATAACAAAAACTACATTTTGATCACTTTATTTACTATAAAAATGTTGATGATAAACAATAGCATTTTGTGGTAGGATAAGTAAAATTGATTTTAATTTAACATAAACAGTTGTTTCCAGTTATGCTATGGTGCAGTACTATGTTAGGAATAGATCTTTGTTCTTCTGTTTGCTTGTTTAATCTAAATGAGAGTTTAGTGAGTGTCCTTGTGATGTATTTTAGAAAAGCTGTCCTTGTGATTTAAATAGAATGTGACTTTAAATTTACTCTTAGAGTTTAAAACTTTTTGTCCTTCTCTACAAATTATCTAGTAACGTGATGTGTGGGTTCAACTCATCAGTATTCTTCTGTGTTTCATTGTCCACATCAGCACAATCTATGCTATCATGTCACATCTTAAGTAATCTTTATCTCCTTATGTGTCCTTCACTCCTCTCAAATCGTACATTTCCCATAGTCATCACCATTCAGTGTCCTTTACACTCACTATGACAGACCTTAGTGGACGTCACAAGATGTAGCTTGTAAGATTGAAAAAGTTCAAATTTGCCAAGTAAATTTATAAATTTAGTGGAATCAAGAGCATGATGCTGTTCTGCCAAAATCTGTAGAGATGAAAATTTGCTATGTTGGGAAGAAAGGATGCAAATGCATCAAAAATCTTCCTACTAAATATACAAGCTGCATCTTTATTATTTCTGTCCTGAATCCTGCAGTTTAGTGCAACCAAAATGTGCCATGGCTTTATGTGCTCACCTCTCCTGACTGCACCCCAACAGGGAAGAAGAACTCGTTGCTACTGCAGAAGTTCCAGAAGGATCTGAACGCCGGCGTTTTCAACACACAGGAGAACGAGATATTGAAGCAGATTATCCGCCAGGACAGGGAGATGGTGATGATGGTGGACCGCAAGCAGTCAGTCACGGGGATGAACTCAACACCAATATCAGGAAACTCCATCATTAACTCACCAGCCCAACCACCCTTCTCAATGGCCTTTGGCACCAGTCAGCTCCAACAGTCCTCTGTACCCCTGACCTACAGTGCTTCAGCTATTGCCAATGCGTCTGTTGCCCGCATGCTGCCAGTTGCTGCTGCTGCTGCTGCTGTGGCACAACAGGGGGGTTACCCTGCTCCCAGTCTTTCCCATGGCAACCTGAATTCTTCTTCAACCAACCCTCAGCAGCAAGGGGCAATCATGTCACCCTGCTCCTTCACGGCTACCAGTGCAAGCTCCTCGCGGTGCCCGGCCCTTCCGGTCCGGCTCGCCCACCACCTCCCAGCTGTCACTTATCCAGCAGCCCGTTGCTCAACCATCCCTATCTACACCACAGCAGCTTGCTCAGCAGCCCGCTGTGTCAACTGCAACCGCAGCCACAGCAACACAGCAGCAGCAGCCATCACCTCAACAGCAGGTCCCTTCACCTCAGCGGGGAGACACCCACAAGAGCACACAGGCTCTTCAGTCAGGCAGCTTGAGTCGAGACGTCCGACACTTATCGGCCTCCCAACCATCACTGCCACATGACACATCTTTGGGGCCCAGAGCGCACCCGGCCTCAGGAGACTCTCTGGCCTCCATCATGCCACTGACGGCGGCAACGATCCAGGCAATGAATCTGCAGAGTGGCATCCGCACCACAGTACCCCAGCGGGTGAATTTATTCCGACAGATGTCATCAGGAGCTTTGCCCCCTGTGCGCTCAGGCGCCGCTGCAGCAGCAGCAGCGATGGCAGCAGCAGCAGCAACGTCATCACCCTCATCCTCAACGCAGCACAGGGAATCACCTGGATCTAGGAGAGATTCTGTCCTGAGCAGTACAGAAACTGAACAAGACAAGATGCGTTTTGCATCAAATTTATGATCCCATTTTTCCCCTTTTCATTTTTTAAACTTATGTTTCAATTCATTTTTAAAAACAGAGACACAAGAGATAAAAGGTGGAACTTCAGCATTTTTATTTCTTACCAGTTTTCTTCTAAAATAACCTCATAGAAATCCCATAAACACAAGCCCTTGTATTATATTTTAAACACACAGTCTCCCAAAACTTAAGAATGTATATTATACAGATACATCTGTCTCATCTTTTATGCTATATATAGTTGGATAAATGGATGGATGGAGTGTGTGAGTGTGTGTGTGTGTGTGTGTGTGGCTGTGTGTGTTAAATCAAACTACAACATTTGGTGGCAATGGCAGTTTAAAAGCTGTAGTATAAACATGAGTCTTCCTTTCTGAGAAATATAGAGAATTATATACAGTGATTCTGACATTGACTCTCACTTTTGTTTACCACTGAGGAAGAGGAAAATTATCTTCTATTAAGCAGCTTTAGTAATCACTGTGGATTAATAATGCAAGCACCTCTGACAGATATCTCAAAAAAGCACACACACACAAAATGAATCTCATACCAATTTTGTGAACCCTCAGTTCAGAAATCAAGACTAATACTGTAACTAAGTGTTATGTTGCTTTCAGCAATGTAACTACAGAACGGCTGAGCCACTGTATCCCCACAGCTGCTCACATACAAACCATGACAGTGTTATGGGTCCAAAGGGAATTGATAATAGACATGCTGCTGCTTTTTTTCTTTATTTTCAAGGAAAATGGAGTGTGGAGACAGATATGAATGGATGCTATTGTTTTCTATTTCTAATTTCAGATGGCAGAGATGTAATGTTGCTTAAAAATTCTGTGTATATTTATAATATTTATAAACTAAAGATTATCACCATTATGCAATAGACTGTGATATAAAGATTACCTATATGTGTGCTGTAAATAGTTTTGTAGATCTAGTATTTACAGATACTGTGTGGTGCATTCTCTATCATAACAATGTCTTACTTCTATCAGGAACCTGGATATCATCTATATGTGACAGAGGTTAAGTGACAAAATATGTTTCATAAGAGATAAACAAACCTTAATGCAATAGCTAGCGTTACCTGATGCTGAGAAATGCCTGACAGGAGGACAACTAGAAATCCCTGTGTATACTATTCCTAGTCTAGTATAGTTTTTGAGTTCACATCAAGTGAACATACACAATATCTACCTGCAATACACAACTTCATTTTAACTGTCCAACTGAAAGTAAATGTCTTTTTATTGCCTCATTTCCCAAAACTGCTAAAGATAATTTCCAGAGTGATTTTTTTTTTGTTTGTATTAATTTTAATTGTCAAACGTTTTTTAAACCACAATTTATTTTCTATGCTTGCTCACCTGCTTCTTGGTTAAAACTGTACGGTATGCTGTCATATCACTAGGCACAACATTTTCAACACACATTTTAGGCTAAAGACATCCAGTCACTCAAGTGGGAAGGGGGACATTTTCACCAAAAATAATGTTTTGTGCTGCAGAAAGTAAGGGAGAAAAGAAAAATGCTGGTTTGCATTAAGGTTTCAGTCTCATGTAAATCCATTATGTGGGCTTAGGCACTCTAAACTGACCTGGACTCATGCTGAGGCAAGGAAGCAAGGTCAAGCCAGAATATTGTGACTCCATCAGATAAAGACTAAGAGCCATTTGAAATATTTTAATCTTGAAATAACTGAATTATTTGATAACTCAACTCAAATAAATCAGCCAGCAGTATGGCTTACGGGCCATTTTGCTGCATGTAGAGGAAATTTGTGTTCCAGACCTTCCTTCTTCTTAATCAAATGTGACAAATCTACTCTCAGTCATGCTGAATTTCTGTCTAGACTTATGGTTTTCATGGCACCAAATATCCCATCAGTTCAAAGTGACTAAGCCCTTTGAGATACCAATTTTAAAAAGATTACAAAGTCTTTGCTACAGATTGTGTCGATAGTGTACCAATACAGTCAACCCACCAATGTCATGAAAGCATGCACTGTCACAAATACTTAAAAAGATACTATCTCAAAATGTTGACGTCAAGTGTAATGTTAGATTATGTTTTGTTCACTGTCTGTCTACCTAGACGTTCTGTGTGTGTGTGAACAGAAGCATCGACTTTTCACATGGACATTCTTAAGTATTTGTGCCTAAACTATAGCCATGTTCCTTCCTTTGTTATGAGTGTGAGCTCGGTGCATACGGGGGGCACTTCTGCACACAACTGCGCATTAATTCTTACTATACTCTGTGTTCTATGTCTGCGTGTATTTAGACAGGAAAGGAGTATGCAATGACGATGGCCAAATGTTTCAGTTTATTCAATTGGTATCTTTACTTACAATGTGAACTTATAGAGGCAGGCTTGTTCTAACAGTCAAGGTACATAGAATATTTAATGAGATCATGTACAGTTTAAAAAAAGTATACTCTTTAGACTTGCAGTAATATCACACTCAGTGAGACACTGTACAAATCCGGAGCACCTTCATACCTTTCTTTATAGTTAGCCTCTGATGCTTGGGTTGAGTATTGATGTGCGGAAGGAAACTGGCCAAAGCAAAACATCTACGTCGCTGTCTTTGTTTTAAATTGCACTTTCTGACTTATAATAATAATAAAAAAATTTAAAAAAAGAGGGATTCTTTCAGCTAAGTTAGACTGCAATAGAAAGGGAGCAATATCCCCAAGAATTTCTGCTGCCCTGGTCCTGTATGAAGTTTTAAATGAGGGGGAGATGTTCTATTTACAACAGCGAGCGCTTACTCGTGAATATGCCATAGTGTATAGGAACTAGTACACAGTCAAGATGGATAGCAGCACTGTTGGTTTGTGCTGTTTTTGATACTTGCCTTTGGAGGGAGAGCTTCCCAACTATGTGCTTTTTTTTCCACTATACCAATCACAGCTAACATACTGGAACGGGCATTAACGGTAATGTACGACACAAACTAACAAGCTTATATATTAGCAGCATAGGGACTCTCAACAAACCAGCACATATATTTATATATGTCTTTTTGTGTGTTGTTTTGTTGGTTGGAGAAAAAAAAAAAGGTGCATAAAGAACTGAGAATAATGCCCAGAGTGGACAAACCAAATGTTAATTTGGGTCTGATGACCACAGGTTTCATATGTTTACCGATGATCTGTGGAGTGGAGAGAGGAGAAGCTACAAGGAGCTGCTCAGTCCTCTTAAACCCTCCCCACATGGTCACTGTTCAGCTCATTCACGTTATCCAAGGCTTACAGAATAATCAGTGCGTTACTTGATACAGATGAAAGAAAGATCAATGTAAACTTTCTTACAACAATATGCAGACAAACAGTGTTTGTCAAAAATATAGATTTTTGTTTATTTTGATTGTAAATAATAAACCTTTAAAATACATAAAATAAACGACACTGTCAGTTAAAAGTGCGTGTGTGTCATTGTGTTGCCGAACTGCATGTGCGTGTGAATAAGCTTTTATTCATTTACAATTTGATTGAAGGAGAAAATGGAGCAATGATTACAAATCGGAAGATGTGGTTGAGAGGTTCAGAGAACTTTTAGGAACCCAGTCTGTCAGCAGTTACAGGTGAGACCAGGAATTTACACTCATCACCTATTTATCAGTCATAAAGTCATCATACACGATATTAGTTTTTCTTTCCTCTGCAACAATTAGTCCATTAATCAGTTAGTTAACATTTGCTGGTTCAGCTTCTCAAAAATACAGACTTGATTATTTTCATTGTCGTACACATTAGTAAATTGTATATGTTTGTCTTTTGTGCTGTAAGACTCTGTATATGTCATCTTAGACTTGGCAAATTATAACAGGCATTCTTCACTATTTTCTGACATTTTACAGACAAAACAGTTAATTGATTAAAAGCATTATAGGACTTGTATATTGTTAAAACAGCTTCTACTTGCAGTGATAATATCCCGACGCCACAACAGTTCTAAACACATCTATCACAACTTTTGATAAAATCTCACAGAATGAACTACTGAGGACTTTACACTGCTGGTTGTCCATTTTCTCCCTCTCAGTTATAAACAGAAGTTGAGCACAGTTCAAATTGCACAGGTGGTTTGCGGTTACCTTTTGAAAAGACAGGCTCACAGGGGTTACGCCCAGGTGACGCACTGTTCAGCTGATCTGTAGCTCCAGTATCAGAGTACACTGCCCTCAGCTCGGTCTTTGTTAGTTAGCATGTTTGTTTATATCCCAAGTCATGCCACACAAATTTATCAGGGGGGAAAACTCCCAGATAGATCTTTATCTGCCAAATACTGTTAACTGAGAATGAGAATATATGTATCCCTAAAAACAAACGAACACACATATACTGTTAACTGAGAATGAGAATATATTTATCCCTAAAAACAAACACACAAATACTGCTTCTAGCTCAAAGTGAATATGTGGCTCGTTTATAGTCCAAGTCTTATCTCAAGGTTCACTGACTATACACTTTCAACCCTATTTCTACATCAGCAAATCGTTTTCTTAATTCTCATTCACCCAGATGTTCACTCACTGACAGATGGTCTGTACACAAATCATCTGATATGATATACTTTCAGTAGACCCTGAGTTAGGTTTATTTCGCCAAACCAGTGTCACAAATGTGATGAAGCTACGGTCTCCACAATGCAGCCACATACATCTACTGTGGGATAAAGCATGACAGGTCTTTCTAAAACTGTGTTAGTGAGTTACTGTGCAGTGTGAACAGGAACAAAGCACGTCCATTCATCTTCCATTCATTTGGTAAAATTGTTCAATTTCTGTTTAATTACAGATACAGCCAGGCTTAATGGGATAACTGAATGGCCTGATTAGCATCCTTAAACACTACTACTAATAGAACTACAGAAAACATTATTAGCTCCTATTGAAAAAAGAAAACATGACTCAGAGACTTCAATCCTATCACAATTAACACTTTCACATACAGTAATATGTATTTGTGTTCTGCTTTCACACAGATTGAACATAAGAGTCACACTGATCTTGTTGTTGAATGACTGCTCAGTACACATTCTTGAGGTCTCTGCAAATATGTAATGTAATGTAAAACTATCCTATAATCAGTGACAGGGTTATAAGCCCATGGAGCCCATTGTGAACCTGTCCCAAATCCTTAGAAATATATAAACTTGACTTATACCATCATATCTTGCCTTCAAACATAATTTTTATGACCTTTTCTTCAGTATCAAAAATAAATGAGCCATTGTTTTGTTTATACACATGATTTCACTGCAAACAGGAGCTACTAGAATTCAATGTAATGTGAATTTTTGAGGGGCTGGCACAGTGGTACAGGCATTTGCACCTCACAGCAAGAAGGTATGAACCTTGTGGCCAACCAGGGCCTTTCTGTGGGTTTTCACTACTTGGGCTTCCTTGAGTACTTGGGCTTCCTTCCACAGTCGGCTAGGGTTGGTGCCAGCCCCCCTTGGCCTCCGCAGGATAAGTGGTTCAGATTATGGATGGATGACTTTTTAAAGCTTTGAAATATAAGCAAAACACAGCCAGACTAGTCTAATTCCTCTCCAAGGCAACATTATACTTCCTGTTTACATGAGCCAAAGCACAACACGTGCAAAACCTGAAAATATACACTACTGCCTAGTGTGTTACACCGTTTAGTTTAAAGCTTTCCTCGTCCAAAGCCATGAAAGACAATTAGCTTAGAACCAAAATATCCAGCACCAGTCCACCTGAGGACGTGAAGACAGAAGAACATCCAGGATCAGCAACGTCCTCAACGTCCTTCCATGTCTATGCCATCTTAGCTAACTACATTCATTTAAAAACAATTATTTTAACATATGATGTATGGACAAAAAATGTTGCCACTATGAAATGTTGCAATTTCTTTCATTTAGTATTTTCTATAGTACAATCTTGTTTCTTTATGGTACCGCTCGACTGACTTCAGTTCTTGTTCAGGTCATTTCTGAGGAACCGTGACGTCAAACTAGGTTGTTATAAATACATTAGTAGGTCTAACTCCAAGGTTGTACATGTCAAAGCTGTTAAAATAAAAGCCAGCCTTACTTCCATCTGTCACTCCTTTTCATGCATTGTTAGGCGCTGCCTTTTCTTCAAGGCCTTCATGTCTGTAGTTAGGATTAGTGGGTGTTATCTCCTTTGAAATAAGACTAAAATAAAGTTACAAGCCTAGGTGTCACCTCACCGATCCAGCAATAACTCAAGGTTGTTAAAATACATTAAACCTCGTAGAAACCATCACTTGGATGTCATGCTTTCCTGCATCCAGAAATATGTTATCTACAAATTAATGTGTTATCTGCTTAACTAATCATTCCAGCGTACTATGTGTATTTACTTTCTGTCCCAAATCCACTGTTGAAACATGTTTACTTGGAGAGAATCTGAGGTCTTTGCATAATTCCCACCTGTGTGACACCTCTGGATGATGTATTTTCAGTATTAAATTAGGAGAACGTGCACCTTAAGCTTAGTATGACCATGAAATGGCTTGTGACCTACAACTAAATTTGCTTGTCCTTTAGAAAGAGGTCATCCAATAGATGCAGTGTATTAGAGCTGCATATTTAATCTGCAGCACTGGGGTTAAATTATAAAGGACAAGAGGGTATAGGAGTAAAGCATTTCCATGGTCATAGTGTTGCTTTGGAATGAATTACCCACTGCAGTGTTCTGCTGAGAATTCATGGTTTTGAATCTAATTACTCTTCTGATATATTTTGATGAATTTGTTAACACAAGTGGTAATAACTTGTAATTTATCTGGCAACTATTTACTATTCAGCAAGAGCTTAATGAGCTACTTTGATTACCCCACATCAGGTACTTGAATGGGTTTGGCAGCATCTCACTGTTTCAATCTACAGCAGTAACAGCTGTAGTCACCACTGAGTGTTATACAGTTGTCAATCTGGTCTGCTGTGACTTGGCCAATGGTTAATATTAGGGTCCAAACTGATTTTATCCTTGTCTGAAACATGCAATTAATTCCTGCATGCACATCAACACTCAGTTTACAAAACTGTAGCCCCTTCATTTTGTGCCCTGTTCATCTCTGTGATTGAATTTCATTAGGCCAGTCAATTCTGTGTGAGCTTAACGTCTTCCCTCCATCGTATTTCATTTTCAACAAATCGCCTTGAGGCAATTCTAACATTAGGAAATGATTGAACATCCACCAGAAAAGACAACTGTAGTAATGCACAAGGTAATTTTTGGAGGTCTGAATCTGAAATGAGTTTTTATTTCAACAACAGTGCTGAGATTGATTGTGGAGGTCACCTCATTTTCCATGGGTCCCACGGTGACCCGTTTCCTTTCATGTCAGATATTTCTCTGCTGTCCTGAGTCTGCCTCATTTCACTATGTCAATGTGCGTGTATTTACTCAGTGCAAACACTGATGAGATACACAGTATCCTGCCCTGTTGGGTGAGAGCCTCCCGAGAACCAAAACCAGGTTCTCTGATTAAAATGCAGGTGCCACCCTGCTGCAGTTTGACCTCTATCTCTACTGCTTTGTCACTGTCTGCCCACCCCATTTGTCTCCAGAATGCACACAAACAGCAGCCAGTCTGTTTTATCTCTTTTGTTGAGTTTAGCACTATGGCACAAATGTCAGCAAGAAGCAAACAAGATAAAACATCAAATAACTTTGCATAATTAGAATGTACTGTATATGCAAATACCTACAATGTGTTTGATGGCCCAAGCACAAAGCTCATTATTCTTTTGACCTCAGTGGGACAGTGAACCTGCAAAGAACTTCTCAAAAAAGCTTTCCAATACAACATGTCCATAAACTGTCATATCAAATATTATGCTGAGATATAATGCTTTCATTTAACATGAAACTTACAATAAGAAGAAGCTTCACACAGTCTTGTCTAAATATAACACTGGGCTAGATTTAAGCAAGCCTCAGTCCATTTACATACATCAATATGAATGGCAAAAGTCAGAGGTTATTATGCAGCGCAGAGGAAACGGAGTCATCTTACTATGCATCTTCTTTAAAAAGGCCACAGCGGGATGCTGCATGTGTGATATCAGCTCAATATGGACATCTGTAGTGGCAGAAAAGCCAGCCAAAATGGACTGTGATTGAATGTGGGACAGTTATTCACTGCAGTCACACCAAATGTGGACAGTGGTGAGTTCCATCTCCATTCATTTTTGGAATCCTTCAACCTCATCTCAGTGTAAGCAACATGACGGGCAACACAAAGAAATGTTTCAGCCCTACACTGATGCCTGCCTGATGGCCACAGACTGCTTTTTATTTGCAAACAATTAAAAGAAAAATGTAACGACACATGCTAAATTTTGCTTTGTTGAAATCGACATTTACTTAGGTAACCTTGATAACAAGCACGTCAC